TCTCCGAGCACGAATCCCGTCGTTTTCCTTCCCTTTGCTCCTCGGAATCGCTGGATAAGGAACCTCCTTAATAAAACAAACCAAAAAGCTCCTTATTGCCTCCCAAAAAAACCCATTGGAATCCTCGGGATAACATGATTCCCTCGGGATTTGTGGGGGTTTAAATTGTTAGGAACGAAAAGCTGGGCCGGGAATGTGGGAACGTCGAAATCCTGGGATCTCTTCCCGCCTTTCCCAGTGACTCGGGTTTGTTGGGAGAGGACGGAGACTGAGGGATTCCAAGATTTTTAACGGGGCTTGGTGTGAAATTTGGGATCAGTTTTCCATGTTTTCCGTGGCAAAAGAGCGGGAAAAGCTGCGTTATCCTTAGTGCCTGGGATCTCTCGGGATTTATCCCGTCCTTTAGTCCTCATCCCGATTTTATAAAACCCTTTGAGGGGAAAACATCCACCTTTTTACTTCAAGCTCTTCAAATTCCCTCCTCTCCTCCCCCCGGGCTTTGGAATTTTCGGGAAAATTCGGGAAAAGGGGCGGAACTGTCCGCCTCATCCCGCTTTTCCTCCTCCTTCCAGAGCGGCGGCGCCTCCGGAGCCGCCGGCGACCAGAACGAGCTCCTGGCCCGGATTTCCCACCTGGAGGTGGAAAACCAAAACCTCCGCAGCGGTGAGTGGGAAAATCCTTATCCCGCCTCGGAATCCCGCCCAGATCCGGGAAAACTTGAGTGGCTTTTCCCGCTTTTTTCCCTTCCTTTTCCCAGTGGTCTCCGACCTGCAGATGGCCATCTTCAAGCTGGAGAGCCGCCTGAACGCCCTGGAAAAATCCTCCTCCGGCTCCCACCAGCCCTCGCCCGTCCCTCCCACCCAGGTGAGCCTCGGGAACGCGGCGGGATTCCCCCTGGGAATAGAACTTCCGGAGGGATCGACGATCCGGGTGGTCAAATGTCCCGGTTTGGATCCCGTTCTCCCCCCAAAATCCCACCAAGTGGGGCTCGAGCATTCCCATTCCCATTCCTGGGCTTTTGGGCTGCCCTGCTCTGACTCCAAGTTCACCTTGTTCCTGTTTTCCTTCCCCTTGTTCCCTTTTCCTTCCCCTTGTTCCCTTTTCCTTCCCCTTTTTCCCTTTTCCTTCCCCTTGTTCCCTTTTTCCTTCTTTTTCCCTTTTCCCTTCTCCTTGTTCCCTTTTTCCTTCTTTTTCCCTTTTCCCTTCTCCTTGTTCCCTTTTCCTTCCCCTCATTCCCTTTTTCCTTCCCCTCATTCCCTTTTCCCTTCCCCTCATTCCCTTTTTCCTTCCCCTCATTCCCTTTTCCCTTCCCCTCATTCCCTTTTTCCTTCATCT